AGGAGACTTTAACTTTTACCAAAGTAATTTTTGGGTAAGATACTTGTACTTTTACTCAAGTATCACTTTGTGGTAATTTACACTACTTACGACAGGTGGTCTCATCTGACAGGTCCAGACAGTCGGCCCGGCCGTCACACTTCAGAGCATTAGGGATACAGTGACCCGAGTCACACTGGAAGAAACCTGGGCGACATGTCAGCAGCTCTGGAAAAAAGCCAAGGAAGCTACATTGTTGAAAAAAACAACAACGAGGAAGTGAGTTTAAAACGCAACTCCTGCTCACCGCAGTCTCGCTCATCTGAATTGTCCCCACAGTCATTGTCATRGTCACACCGCCAGTTCCCAGGGATGCACTGATCGTTGTCACATCGGTACTCACTCTCCGAGCACGGCCTTGGCTCTGACAACGCACACAGACAAGAAACGAACATGGGTGAATTCTTTTCAAAGTCTCATCACGATTTTAAACATCACCTAGAAGCTTACGGCAGTTTCTCTCGTCCGATCCGTCGCCACAGTCGTCGGCACCGTCACACTTCCACCGAATGGGAACACAGCGGTGGTTGTCACAACGGAAATCTCCCAGCGGGTCGCAGGTCAGCTCCTCTGTTGGAGTATTAAAGTTGGAAAACAGGGAGTTTTTCAACACAGAGTTAAATTCCTGTAAATGCTGTTTATTTTACACTACATAGTTTATAAAAGGCATAAAACACCTGTGCAAATTAAAATTCTAATCAAACTAACAAAAGAACCTCAAAATATTTCATGGATTTTACAAAAACTGGACTATGATGTAAGCTAAACTATTATAGCTCAGCCGAACCAAAAAGTGCCATGTGCTGACACATCAGTACTGACCACAGCCTTGCTCATCGCTGTTGTCTTTGCAGTCGTTTTTGCCGTCGCAGCGGGCCCACAAAGGAACACAACGGTAGTTTGTCTTGCAGGAGAACTCTGTGAGCTCATCGCATTTGTAATCTGGACCGTCTGGAGAAAGAAACAAGAAGAGTAAATGAATAAGATCTGAGGGCAAATGAGACTGGAGTTTAAACAGGTTATACTCTAAGAGGAAGTTTGAACTGCACACATGCACTGTATCCATCCATTTTCTTTACTTTCCAGGTTAGAAGCTGGTGACCATCTGCAATGCAAGAGACAGGGACACCCTGGACAGCTTGCAAATCCATCGCATGGACACATCAAGACAAACGAGACAAACAATCATGCTCTCATGGGAACAATTTAGAGTTACCAATCAAATCTAACARTCATGYTTTTGGTCTGTGGGAAGAGAACATGCAATCTCCACACAGGGAGACCTCGGGTTGGGATGTAGACTAATCCTGCAACCTTGTCGCTAAGAAGTGGCTGTGATTAAAGGCAGAGAAGGATGAGAAGAGATAAGAACAGAACAAATCATCTGACCAACAGACAATTAGAAAGATAACCGTACGTGAAAAATATCATTAATTCACTCAGACAAGATGACAAGGCTGAATCTGCACTAGTTTTTACCTCAAATGACTGAGAAATTAATAATTCATAGCTTCAAGAAAATCTCAACTCATTCTCCCACAATGCACTGCTGTCTTTAATTAAAGCAGACCTTTTTTGTGCAAACTCAGTGTCCAACCAGCTTAAGAATTAAAGGGGGGTGTTATGTATTTTCCTGACATATAGTTCAGTTCTATACCATAATCCAGTAACTGTTACTTCCAGGTGTTATAACAATGTTGTAAATATCATAAATAAATTGGACTTTGTATCATAGCCTATCTAAGCGCCTTGAAATTGGCTGCTGTCTCTTTAAGAGCCTCTATTGTTTTTGACACTCCCACTTCAGCACATCTTCACAACAGTGCTTCAGGGGAGTGGTGCTCTGTGGGGTAGGAGTTCAGCCGGGGACTGAGCTCCAGGGAGGAGCYAGGTACAGATATGTACCAGCAAGTGTTCAGGCAGCTCCACATGGCTACCACAGGAGATTCAAGGATTTCTCAAACATGCGTTAATGAGTTAAAGCAACACGGTGTATGTTTTTGATGAGGGAATGACATGATAACATGATATACAGCCTAAAATAGTCAATTTTGCATAATTACCCCCCCCCCCAAAAGTAAAAGTTGTACAGTGTTCTTGGATCTCAGCATCTTTCATTTTAATAAACAACTTCCCAGTTGTTGGACTTACTACAGATTTCAAGCGGCTCATCAGATAGATCTCCACAGTCATTCTCAGTATCACACACGTAGCTTGATGGGATACAATGACCATTTGCACACTGGAACTGTCCGGGTTGGCAGGTCTTCTGAGCACAAGTCTCCACATCCTCATCGCTGCCATCTGAGCAGTCATTTCGACCGTCGCAGTGCCAGGACACAGGGATACACTGCTTGTTTTTACACTGGAACTGGTTCACCTCACATCGGTGATCACCTACAAAAAACAAAGATCCAAAATTGAAAAATACAATCTGACCAAACCTAAAGCAGTTACTTATATTCTGTACAATTTAATTTATAATTATGACCCCCACTACAAATTACTGTTTATTATGACCCCCGCATGTGAACCGGGATTTTGTTTGGTTTATTTTTTTTTTCCGTGATTTTTGGTCAACAGTAGCACAAAAATTGCTGCATCAATCAACATGAAATTTGGCAGGACTGTAGATTAGTCCGACCTACACTGCGCCAGCCAACAGTTTTAAGTTTCAATTTTTTTTTCAGTGATTTTTGGTCAACAGTAGCACAAAAATTGCTGCACCAATCAACATGAAATTTGGCAGGACTGTAGATTAGTCCGACCTACACTGCGCCAGCCAACATTTTTATGATAGACCCCATATTTGAGGAGGGGACTCCGTCCAAAGAGAGGGTGTCTGGACATGTAAAAATGCTTATAACTCAGAAACTGTTCAACATAGGAGCTTCAGCTTTGTTTTGTTGTTTAGCTCTGTTGAAGGGCTATCCATCAGGCCCACCAATCAGTGCCCCCACCCCACCCCCCGGATCCCCAATTTATTTGAAAAAGGGGTGTCTGTGCATAAAACTGCTTAAAACATCCTTTTTCATCCATCCAATCCCATGATGCATTGCGGGTGTAAGCCATCTGTAATGTAAACCAGGAAATAGCTTAAAGAAGATTTTCATATTTCTCTTTTTCCTTGACACAAAATAAATTTTTATAAAGTTTTTAGGTGGGAATGTAGCACTGGAAAACTCAAATATATACGTGTTTTGTGACTATTTTGCTTAATTGGAACAACASCTGTCAATCACCGCAATAAGTGAGGGTGGCCAAGAGGGGCTATGCCCACCCCCAAAATTTGGCAGCAGTTTTATCTTTGCTTTGTGCTTATTTTAATCCCCCCTACTTATTTAGGATTAGTAAAACCACACAAATATAAAAAATGCTTTTGCAAAACTAATACTTAAAAAAAAATTCAAATAGTCTCTCTGAATAAAGACAACCTGAATAAAACAAGTGCCTAAAAGTCTTGTATTTTGTAT